TGTGTATATGACCATAAGTGCAGGAAACATTTACCTTCCCCCACACATATCCAGTCACAAGTATCACCCCTCCTGCACTGGTAAAGAAAAAGTAAAGAAATTATTTAAAAAATATATATAATTGTTTATTTTTTCATGTCAACATTCATTAATAATAATACAATTCCTAAATCCAATAAAGGGTGTGCTATTTTTTTTTTTTTAGCTCTTTAAACAACTTACTGCAGAGGGTGAAGAGCAGGTTTTGAAGTCTCCACATCTTCGCTTTGGCTCATCAAAACAGAAACTTGACAGGAATTACTCTTAATACCAAGAAATATTTTGCATGCAGTGGGAAGCCTATCAGCACAGAGGGGACTACAGATTATTAGGTGGCTCTTCCTAAAAATGTATTTTAAAATATGTAAAATAGCTGACATGTGCCACCTTATGGTGAACACTTCTCATAAACAGCACTGTTCAATTTAAAGTCTTGTGCTAAATAAAAATATTTAAATGAATTTATAAAACTTTGCTTATATAATCCAAACTAACATCACTGACTAAAAGCTCTGAGTGCTACATCGTATTATTATAACTTATTTATTAATATAAAAGCAGCATTTTTCTTTTGTAATTAAAAACTTATCTGCTGATTTTTGTTCTTTTAATTAATTTCGTAGTTACTGTTTGGTCAATAAGCCAGGAATTTGTACAAATACAACTGTCCCTGTATTTGGTAAAGCAGCTAACTAGTCCTATCAGATGATACTAATGTAGTAAAATTGATCAGTTTTAAGTTTAAAGTTATGAAAATACAAAAATAAATGCTGCAATTGTGAACAGCATTTATTTGTGCAGCACTTTACAATGCACCAATGTTGCGAACTTTCTTAACATACCCGTAAACACAAACTGTCAATTACTGAGTCAAGCAAACCCATACAAAGAAGCCACCTAAGCTGTTTTGTCGCAATAGCTTTCTCTGAGGAAAGAAAAAATAAAACTGGCTGTTAACAGTTTTCATATGTTTCAGAATTATTAAGTAGAGATTGACAGACTATTCGTTTATTTTTCTATTATTGATAAAGTAACTTCTTAAGTATAAGTAGTTGAAAAATACATTAATCCATTTCTTTCTCTCTCCCCTCTCACGCACACACAAACACACACTGAATACCACTGAGGCTTAGAGTTGATGGGTGTGACAGGTGTGGTGACACCAAAACAGATGTCTTGACTGTGTTTTTGGTGTTGGTGCCTTTTATGTAGCACAGTTGTTTAGGAAGTCTGTGCTTAAGTTTTGGTGAGTAAAATTCTACTATTTTATTCGTCTGTTGTGTAGCAACAGGTGTGAGTTTGATCTGCATGGCTGATAGCTTAAGTCAGTGTGTATGACTGAATATTACACATGTGATCAACATTTTCATGAATACAGAGATTATTCAGTCCCTCTCAGATAGATTAATATCAGCGTCTGCCTGTCATACTGCATCCATTTGGAATTATACTTAGCTTTCTGTTTTTATGCAGTGAACACAAACCACAACAGATTTGTTCATTGATAAATTTTAGGTGACTTTCCCCTTTAGCAACTTGACACATCTGAATGTAGCGTGAAAACTGTGATTTTATTTTTCCATTTTAAAGTCTTCAGTCTCCCTTGTGATGTGCTTACCACAACTGCCATTTCCGAATTTCATGGAAAGATTTATCGAAAAAGAGGAACATGTTTTTTTTGTCATTTTTGTCATGTTTGTTTCTGTCTGGGAAGTCCAAAATGTTCACGCAAGAATATATGCCAGCTTGTTATATGAAAAAAAGGAAGTTATTTTTGCGCTTACTAAGAGGTCCATAACCTATTATTTGATGTGATCCATCAAATCCTATGTTTAGTGTGTTTAACTGTAATTAGTGATTAAAAAAGGTTATAACATTAAGTACGGGATTTCTAAGAATATCAAAACATAAAAACTAAAGTTTTTCAATAAATATGCACAAATCTTAATACCTGTTAACAAGTTATGCAATCTGAAATCTTGTCTCAATTTCTGAAACACAATTACTGTATTTGGTGTTAAGCTAAAACAGCACCAGCAGAGGGCTCAGTGTGACACACTAAGCAGTGACACTAAACTGTTTTTAAAGTGTTTTCTGGCTTGTCTGAAGAAAAAAAAACCTACTCTTTTGCACTCATTGGATGGTTATATGACATCTTATGAAGGAATTGCACACTGATTGTTTGCTTTTTTTCTGTAAAATTGTATCCATTATCCAGCTCCATTTGCAACAAACAGAAAAAAGCATCAAAAAATGAAAACTGCAAACTGTAACCTTTTAAGTTTCACTGCTCTATTTAAAACCAAATACCTTGAATGACCAGAATGTAACAATGTCGCAGCTCAAATAAGGCAGAAACAGTTAAACATATTGTTGAACTTATTACTATATGAAACAACATTAGATTTCATTTTGCTTGCTTATTTATTTACTTTGCTCTCATGTTAGTAGTTTGAGTTTTTCCACAACTTCAGAAAAAACACTAAACAATAAAAATTAAGCTATAAAAACAAGTCAAGCTACACATGCATAAAGAGCAGCTAACTCTCATGGCTAAACAGAAATCAAAACAAAGTTTTCAGTGTGACAAAGAGAAGGCTGTACATTAAAATTTGTTGTTCAAAAGTTAAAGAGAAATCAAACAAGTTAAAATCTATATAGCTGAAACCCACATTTTGACCTGAAATGCATACTCTGTTTATCTTCTGTGGAAATTTTCATTACAGTAAACTTCCTCAGATGTTGTGAAGTTTTCATAGTCCGGTTCATCTTCACCTGCATCGTCATAGTTGTTACAGGCACTCTGTTGTTTGTACCTCACAACTTCTTCATTTCCATAGATCTATTCAGAGACCAATGAACAACACATGATGTTATGTCATTTTATAAAGAAAACATTTTTTAACAATTTGAATTCTGATAGAAAAATTACAAAAACAGATGACGCTTCAATTATTGCTGCAAATAAATTACATAGTTTAGTTTTAAGGTCAAAAGAATTTAAAAAAATCTCAAATTAGATGCTTTTCACACATTATAAGCTAAACCATATAGAAAGTGTAAATGTGGCTCTCTAAGTGTAGCCTGTGGGCCAGTGGCTGTCCTCAATAACATTTCATGCTACCCCCAAATACCTCAATGAGCGAATGCGCTAACATAAATTTCTTAGTAAGTAATTTCTTAGTTATCATATGATAACTTCCCATTTTATCATATATTAGTACCGAATAGTAACACTGTGGATGAATCTGAATGAAAGATTCAAACATCAGTTTGCTATCAGTAAAATAACAAAAACCATGAATAATAAAAGCTGATTTGGTATATCGTGAAACTCTACCTGATCATTGTTGGGATTGGGATCATTATCATGCTGACAAATGACCTGTTGTCAGAATTATTTCCAGATGGTATTGAACGATAGATCAAAATCTGATGGGGATTTTCTGTGTTCATAATTTCATCAATGTTAATAAGATCCCAAAGACCACTTGTTTGAATTCAGCCCCAAACAACGACAGAGAGTACTGTTGTACATCTCTCCGTACCTCCCCTGCACCTACTGATGACAGTTTAAAACGCATTAATAATTTTCTTATAAAATTTATCATCCCATAAGACTTATAGTCACTAATTGTCAGTCCAGTTCTTGGATAATTTGGCATACCTCTGCCTTTTCTGTTTCCTTCGATTAAGAATGACTTCTTGACAGGCTCACCCCATGAGTTTGATGCATTTTTTATGCTTCTGTGATTCACGGGTTAATGTTAGGTGGCTTAACGATAATATGAAAAACTGTGAAAATGGTCAGATAAAAGGATTGGACTGAGAAGGAGGGAAAAAGCAGCCAGTGTCTGAGGAAGATTTTTTTAAAGACTTTTAAGATTCAGAAAGCCCGAAGAACTTTCAAAAATTACAAGAAATGAGGGATAGCTCAAGACGTTTGCACAGTACTGTACTGAACTCATTTAAGAAAAATAAAACATTGCTTGTTTGTACATAGTGAGACTTGTTATAGATAGAGCACACTATTAACCTCTTAAGCCCCAATGCCCCCTGATACGGGGGCAAAAGGCAGGAGATCAGTTAGGCTTGGGGCTTAAGAGGTTAAGGCTTTGGACTTTAGTTTTCTTACGTTATTTTCTGCGCCAGTCGTCACTTCCTCTAAACCTTCTTCGTTCTCTGCATTTCTGTTCATGACAGCTTTACCGTCTGAAAACACACAGCATAAAACATGGTTGTGTTCTTTTTGCATGCACATTTGAGTACATTTTCCCATAAAACATACCTTTTACTTTCTGATGTTTGCATTGATAAACTGTAACCACGAGGGCACATATCAGTAGCAGCAGCACAGCGGGCACAGCATAAACCACATACTGTCCTGCATCTGAAAAGCAGAAACCAAAACATAACCCAGTAAAAGTACAGACTTCCTTTTTACACTAAGACAAGTTGAACTGTGGGCTCAGATGGTAGTTTTCTTTTCATATCTATTAATAAAACATAGACCCTCAGCTGTTTTGACACTCATTTTACCATGGTCTACATTCACTCCCAGGGGATTTGCTGAAACTGTACTCAAAAAACTCTAACTATTTCCAATTGTAACCATAAAGTATGTTATCTCTCCATAAGCTATCTCACATAACTGATCAACAGTACAGCACACACTAAAAGACACATTGTATACACTGTACCTTTATTAGGTCTATTTTGAGTTGTAGTTTTATTGTGTGTTGTAGTTTTTCCTGGAATTTCCATTGTGGAAGGTACAGTGCTGGTGTGCTGTGGAGACACTGTTGAAGAAAAAGACTTTCAATGTTCTTAGAAACTTCATCATAATACAATAATCTATTTTAAATTGAGTGAACAGTTTCAGAGAGATCCAGATTGGCTTTCACTCTTAAACTATTCACTTACCTGAAATCAGATTCTTTGTTTGTCAATTTATACATTAAAATAGTCAGTAGACCACTTAACATCTATGGTTTTATATTTAGATGTATAGTTTGGTGGAACACTGATTAAAATGATTTAAATACAGAATATAAATATTTGGTTTTCCTGTTTTTTTTTTCCTCTCTACTCTATGAACTTTAATAATTACCTTTAACATCCAGCATTCACTTTTAGCTCATATAACTAAGTACAGAATCAGAAATGGCATTGGAGTGTTTGTAAACCTTTATTAACCAGATAATCTTAGAAAATTTTAACAAATAAGCTACATAAAGATTAAAAACTTCAAATGATAGTTTGGTGTTAGGGTAAAAATATGACTTCTAAAAAGTAGTTCACTCTGGTTGTGGTAAGTTGCTGGACTGCACCGACCTCTTGTTCTATGTTTGGCACTACAAAAAAACGGAACCACCATCCACAGTCTACATTTACACACCGGGCTGCAAAAAAGGATGTTACTTACAGCTCTGGCCATTTTATTTTTGTGTACACAAGTATTCATCTCACCAACTGACAGCTGAATCTTAACATGGTTTCCAACTCTCCACTGTGAGTCTGACCCACACCAGTATGTCCCAGCATCATCTACTTGTATCTTTGTGAACGTCACTGAGAAAGAGCTGGAATAAATATCATCTCGTAGTGCGAGTCTGCTTTCACTCATCGCCATGTCTCTGCAGCTGTGGCGGTGGTCTCCTTTACAGAGGAACTTCCTGTTATTGTGATTTTGTGAAGGATAAGGGCACTGCAGAGTTAATGGGTGCCCTGCAGTACCTGTTACTTTAGTTGACTTGATGCAGCACCACTCTGTCACAGTGAAAGAGACAAATAATTTAAAGAGTTTCTTAAAGAGCCTTTTTAGAAGAAATTGTTTCCTTTTTGTTAGTGTAATTATGTAATTATAACCTCTCACCTTTGACCTTCAGCTCAATAGCAGAGAAAACATCCAGGTCAGAGTTTCTTTGGACACCACAGAGGTATGACCCTGAATCATTTTGAGTCAAATTGCTAATGGCCACTGTAAACTTTCTTAACATTTTTTCATCATCAAGTCTGAATCGTCCATTTTCTCTCTTGTTAGAGGTGATCAGTGCCTGCTGCAGACATGTGGAGGGCCGGTTTCCTCTGCAGATGTACTTGAAGTTGTTCTGATACTGAGAGTCATATGGACAACTGATGGACTCAGAGTATCCCTCATAACTATGGACTATGGTCACAGTGTCACAGCATCTGTCTGTCAAGAAGGTAAAGAGCATCAGAAAAGAAAAGAATAGAGAATAGAGATATGATATTTTATATTCAACATGCTGCAACAAGTAAATTTTAAACAAACCAATCATAATTGCTACATCTGATACCCAGCTCTATCAATGATAGATCTTAACAATTAGTTATAATATAATAATAATGGATATATTATATATATATATCGTACGGTTGCCACAGGTAGCCACAGCTCCCCTGGGGCAGACTGACAAGATATTGCGCCATGCGCAGCCTGGGGATCAAACCGGCAACCTTCCGGTTACAGATGCGCTTCCCAACCCCCTGAGCCACGCCCCAATAATAGTGAAACTGTAGGAATGTCATAAAGACATAATGTCTTTACTATACAATGTAAAGCGCCTTGAGCAGACTGGTTTTTGTGACCTAGCACTATATAAATAAAATTAAGTCAAGTAATCGTTTACCAGTTACATTTTATCTGTTCTCACCTTTAAGCTCTACAATCATGAACATCTTCTATATATGAATTTTACTCAACTATAATTCATTTTTTGGAAGTCCCTGTTTACCTGGCACTAACTTCAGCTCAACTTCAGTGTAGATATCTTTTCCATTTCTGGTCACTCCACACCAGTATTTCCCAGCATCCGTAGAATGAAGATCAGAGATGGTTGTTGTGAAGATTCGTGCTGTTTTGTCGTCATTGATCCTGTATTTTCTTTTCCATGATTCCGATGTTGTAATAAGAACATCACTGTCACCACAGTCGTTCTTACACAAGTACTTCTCATAAGACTCATAACCTTCATCATAGGAGCAGGAAACTTGAACTATACTCCCCATATATCCAGTCACATGGATCACCTCTCCCGCACTGGTTACACACCTCAGAGCAACTGTAACGTAAAGAAAATATAAAGATCATTGTTTTATTTTTTTTTGTTTTTTCCATTTAGGCATTCAAGCTAGCATTGTTACTGCTCCGTAAAGAAAAGAAAAAAATCAGGAGTAGTATTTAAGTACACAATTAGTCTAGATTTATCTTTAGTCTTCATCTTTTTTACTAATGTATTCATTAAAATAACTCACTGTAGATGGTAAACAGCAGGTTTTGAAAGCTCCACATCTTTGCTTTGCTTCATAGAAATAAAAACTTAAGAGGAAATCCTGTGAATAAATGACGCCCATAGAGGTTATGGATGCAGAAGACTTTCACTTCTGCATTTTGAGCAATTTTTTTAGTCCTTGCACAATTGCATTTTTAATGTGGAAACTCTTGTCATTTAGACTGATTAGACTGGTAGTAAATAAACTGACTTTTGTCTGGTGAATTATTTGTGCGAGCATTATTTTGAGGTTTACACTAAAAACAGTTCCTATGAAGTTGGTAAATGTAACATAGCATTTTATTTTCCTTCGACTGAGGGGCACTACAGCCTAATATCATAAAACAGGACAATAACTGAACAAATATTCACTAATGTTAGATTGTGTTAAAATCATTTTGGATTTATGTGCAAGATTCACTTTCAAGGTTAAGAGCACAAGTTACCATGGTGCAGTGGCAGGACTGAAGGAAAAGCCAGAGTCCAGAAACCAAACAAAAAAAAAAAAAACTGTCCTGGAGCTCTCCTTGGCCATAAAACAAGACACAGGTTTGAAGCACAATAAAAAAGCAAGAAATACTCAGTTCTACCATACAAAATGTTCAGGAGGCCAGCGCGGCAACTAGAAGAGGCTGCCCAGGCCACAGTGTAAAACTCAGGGGTGAGACCAGTAGCTGCAGACAAAGGAAGTCTGGAGGCCAGCCACGAGGCCAGTGGGAGAGACAAAGTAGATTTGGAGGCCAGTGACAGAGATGGCTGGCAAAAGAGAAAGCCTTCAAAGCCTGCCATCAAAGAGACTTGGCCTCCTGCAACACGGAAGCCTTGAGTGCTGGTTCTAGGTGCCTAGGAAAACCAGGTGCTGACTCCTTTGGGTCCAACACATCCTGGTGGAACCGGACCCACTGGCTCAAGCTCAGACAGCTAAGGTGCTGGTTGCTGTGTTGACATGATGGACTGAGTGGATGTTTTAGTGGTGGATAAGCTAGCTGGCACTGGGACTGAATATCCCAGAAACTTAAAAAATTACTACATAGGAGTGAGGTCGCAGTGTTTAGAGTCACAATTCTTCTTCTTCTTCAATTCTTCTTCTCTTCGTCAAACAGAAGGTGTGCTCAGAATTTGGTTTTGCTACTTTGCTCACTTTATACTTATGTTGCTACTTTAATTTAAGTTAATTTGTGGTTTTGCACAATTTCAGTACAGATAATTAATTCTAAGCAATAAAAAATACTGTGAAGGCTTGTGTCCGTCCCTTTGATTACGATACTGCATTACAAGCATACTTGTCATCACAATCATTTGCATAGATACTTCTCTATGCAAGACTCATAACCGTGATCATAGGCGAAGGAGCTTTTT